GGGAAGAGCCCGAATTCTAAGAATGAGGCCCAAGGGCGGGGCTCGAGGTGGCGAGGAGGTGTCTCCCGCAGCGGGGCGACGAGGGTGGAGATGTTTTCCTGGGGCCCCGTGGAAAAGAAGGACGTATTGAAGAGTGGTTAAGAGCCTGGGTCCCCGTGTCCAGATCCTCCCAGCCCCATACAGCGCGCAACCCCTGAGCCTCAGTTCTCAGTAGTTTCCCGTTTTATCGTGGTTGTGAGCGGAGCCTGAATTAGATAATTTACCTAAAGGCTCTCGCAGTGCCTGGCACTTGGTAAATACTTAAATGTGAGCTGTTACTGGGGGCGAACAGAACTTAGACAAACTTTTCCATTGTCAGAGCCAATGAAACGGGCTGCTGGTGAGATGAAGATCCTTTCCTCTGGAGGTGTGCAAGCAGCGGGTGGGGGTCATACATAGGGGTTGCTATGGGGGGAATTCTTGTCCTAGTTATCGGTCAAGAGTCTTTGCCTGGTTCTTCCTTGCCGGCCTGGGTCTCTAGGTAGCCATGGCGACTGAGCCTGCTCCATGGGCTGGCTGCACCAAACCACCACAGAATTAAGAAATGGGATCTCTGCTCCTGAGAAATTCAGTCTTCGGGACACTTTTAAGTCCTCGTGTTAGCCCCAAGCTCTGTTGACAAGAACAAGGGGTCTGGAGGCTGTGCTTTCAGCCTACCTGGTTAATTTGGGCAAATCATTTCTCAAGTGGGATTAATAACCTCGGCCCCATCAACTTCCCTGGGTGGTTGGAAGGCTGATGGCATGATGTGGAGAACTGCTTATCTTACAGAGAGCTTTGTAGCATTAAGGCAGTGGTTCTCAGTGCTTACTGAGCAGAATTGCCCAGAGTGACTGTTAAAAATGCATCTCCCTGGGCCTTCCCCATAGATTGAGTAGGTCTGAAGTGGGCCAACAAATTTGCAGTTTAACCTAGATCACAGGTGATTCTGATACTAGTGGTCCATGGACCTCACCTGACAGGGTGTGAACAAAGCATCGATTGCTACTAAGGAAATACCTTTTTGTTCTTTATTTATATTCACTAGTTGTCGAATGGTCATGATAGGGTAGGTACAGTACCAGCTGAGAGAAACCAGAGGTAGTGCTGCCCATGCTGGTTACAGGAGCCGTTGTTCCCCCATGAAGTCCCCTGGGCAAACCCTTCCTTGTCAGTGGTGTTCGGGAAGCAGTTTGTGGGGCACAGTCCAGAGATGGGGGCTCCAGTGTGGCATGGTGGAAGGTCACGGGCTTTGAAGTTAGGGAGGCCAGGATTTAAATCACCATCCACCACTTGCTTCCTGAGTGAACTTCAGCAAGCCATTTAACCTCTGACTCATCTGTAAACAGGGACAGTAGCCCATCCCGAGATCAAATGAGATAGACTGTCCCAGGACCTCCCCTGGCACAGCCTAAGTGTTAGATAACTGAGTTCTCTTCCCTTACCCCAGCGAAGGGCAAGTGTATGTTGGGAAGGTCTGCTGAGACTCACGCCTGGCTGGGAGTGTGGGCCCAGGTGACCCTGGCTCCTCTGTCTCTCCAGATGGTATCTGCGGATGCTGCAATGTTACCGGTGCAGGCAGTGGTTCCACGAGGCCTGCACCCAGTGCCTCAATGAGCCCATGATGTTTGGAGACCGGTAGGTGCAAATCTGGTCTGGCTCAGCCTCAAGTGTGAGATGAGGGGAACAGGGGACAGCAGTAGCAACTCCTTCAGACAGCCTGCCAGGCAGGCCCTCGTCAAGTGGGAGTCTATGATAGTGTGTACCTGTCTACAGAGGCAGCTCAGGTTAGGGGGAGTATTCCTCCCATAAAGGAACCACAGTTGCCATTGATTTGTGGGGGACCTTAGACAAAGCCCTACCTTCCCTAAGCCCCAATCTCTTTAAGTGTCTGGGGAAGGGGGAGTGACATAGGCCCTGCCTCACCCCTGCTCAGGGTTGTTATAGGAGCCATTGGGTATATGGATGACTTGATTCAGCGTCTAACCAATGGGGCTATTGGGAGGTTTATGTGTATCAAACCAGATATTATGTGTGTCTTGATGTCTCATGTCGTTTGTGATTGTGTGTGTCTCAGAGGGGAAGAGTGTGACCGTCTCAGCCCAGCCTAGCTCAGCTCACTCTCTCTGAACTCAGCCACGCTCCAGGGCAATGACACTTGGGAAAGGGGGTAAGGTAGGGGTTAGTAAGGGCAGAGGGATGTTTCTTGGTCCCTGTCCTCCCCTGTCCTTACCTCACTAGAGGCCACCAGCCCTGGGAATGAGAACAGTGCTGACTATGGGAAGGCAGATGGGAGTGAGGGGGCTGGATTAGGGTGGGGTGTCAGAGCCCCTCCCACCACAGGCCCCCACTCCACCCACCCACAGGTTCTACCTGTTCTTCTGCTCCGTGTGTAACCAGGGCCCAGAGTACATCGAGCGGCTGCCCCTACGATGGTGAGAGGATGAGGCTTGGCCCACACCCACCTGGGCCCCTTCCAGCTCCTCCCCTCCTACCCTCTCCAGGAACAATTCCATTTCCAACCACCTTGTCCCAGCCTTGCCCCTGCCCTTCATCCCTGACCCAGGAGGCTCCAGCCCTGGCTGCTGTCTCACCCCGGCCCCACCTCCTTACCCCTTTGCCCAGGGTGGATGTGGTTCACCTGGCCCTTTACAACCTGGGGGTGCAGAGCAAGAAGAAGTACTTTGACTTTGAGGAGATTCTGGCCTTTGTCAACCACCACTGGGAGCTCCTGCAGCTCGGCAAGGTATGCTGGACCATGGGGTGGCAGAATGGCAGGAGTTCACAATGGGGTTACCACGGTCTGGAGAGGTTTGCCCAGGCCCACACAGTGCCGGGCTAGGATCTAGGTCTCTGAGTGCTCACTCTTCAGCTGCTGGCTGGGACAAAAACCCAGAGCCTTGGAGCTGCTGCATCCCTGAGTCCACACCTCTGAGCCTCTGCCTTGCAAGGGGCTTCCTGACCCAGGTTTCAGCAGTGGGCAGGTTAGGGCCTCACCGACTCAGCTGCAGGGAGCTAGGAGTGGAGTCTGGCTGGAGCAGGGCTCTCTACAGAAAGAGATGTTTGAGCCACTCCAGATGACCTGGCTAGGATGGAAAGTGAAATGGGCCTCCCCCCTGCTGGTCCTACTTTGAATAGCAAAAGTGGGCAGCTGGGGCCTGGCAGCCTGGGATCCATGGGGTGAAGTAACAAGCCAGACTTTCAGGATGTCAGAGGTGGAGAGTGACTTGCCCGTGGTTAGCACAACTTCGGAGCTAAGCTGGAACTGAAGCCAGGGCCTTCCCAACCATTTCCACGTTGGGGCCATGTCCCCTTCTCCCTTGGCACCCTTAAAGTCCTCTCCCCCACATCTAGAGTGAGGCATCTTTTCTACTGATGGTCCCAAATCCTCTGATGAGACAGGGATTTTTTTTTTTTAAAAAAAAGTAATCCTTATGCTTTGCAAAAAATTTTGGATGATATATAATATCTTCATTTTCATATATTTTATGTAATATATCTCTTCATTTACAGTGTTTGGTAATTTATAAAACACACATAAAGCCCTAAAGATAGGTAGAGCTGGTACTTTTTTTAAATAATACTTTTTCTAATAAAGAAGTATATTAAAAAAAAAAAAAAAAGCCATCCATAGTCCCACATCATACGACCCGGAAGCTACTGTGCTGATGCACAGGTGCCTTTCCTTCCGTCCTCTCGTCAGCGTGTGCTTTCCTTCTCACGTAGCTTAGGTTATACAGCACGTGCAATTTTAAGTCATCTTTTCAGCTTAGACCACATCATAAATACTTTTCCATACCATGAAAGTTTTCATAAACATTTTTTAATGTCTGCATTGGTTCCCACTACAGTTTACTTGTTTCCTTCCTGTTGGGCGTATCGTTTCGTGTCCATTTGTCCCAATGGCCCAGCATGGGGAACAGTGCCGCGGTGAACAGTTTTGTACACAAAGCTTTCTCCATGTTTCATATTATGTCTGTATGACAGAGTCCATGGAGTAGCATCTCTGGGTCAAGGGCACAGACATTTTTAAAGCTCTTGATACATTTGGGACAGGAGTTACTCTCCCCAGTTACAGACAGGAACTGAGCTCAGAGAGGTCATGGAGTAAGTCAGTGGGCCTCACGTGGAGAGCTCAGAAGCATCAGGAGACTGGAGAGGAAGGGGACAGGGCGGAGGGCTCTTCAGATGCCATGTGTCTGGGTCTGACTGTCCCGCTGGCCTGCTCCCCCTTAGCTCACCAGCACCCCCGTGACGGACCGAGGACCGCATCTCCTCAACGCGCTGAACAGTTACAAAAGCAGGTGTGTGCCAGGGCGGGGGTGCCATGGGGCCCCCGACAGGTGGGATTTCAGTCTAACGGTTCTTCCTACCTCATACATAGCTTTTGCTCAAGCTGTGCCCCCTGCCTGGGTCTCCCGCCCCTTCTCTTTGACTGTATAAGTCTTATCCATCCTTCAAGATCCAGGGAGCACCCCATCTCCTTTGTGATACCTCCCTGACCACTCCATCAGTGTGACACATTTTGGTTCTGGGCTCAGCTCCATACGGGCTTGCCACCCCTCCCACCCTCCACCTCCTGACCTCTGAGGGCCCCTCCTGCCCCAGCCATCTTTGGTTCTGGGCCGGGCACCAAAATATCAATTCACCATCTCCCAGGTGAGCTGCATGGCCCCTGCTTCCCGTCCAGTCTTCTTTGAGTTCTCAGAACACACAGCTGACACATCCCTTGCTACCGCCACAGGGAATGCCCAGGCTCCTTAACATGGCATTCAAGGCCTTGGATGATCAGTCCCTGCCCATACCTTCTGCCACGGTTCCTTTGCTTTATTCTGGGTGTCAGCCATTCTGAGCCCTTTGCTTTCCCACTCATGCTTTCGCTCGCGCACCTCCCTTTGCCTAGGATGCTCTTCAGTCCCTTTCATTTGTTTGTTCTATCAACTCTTTATCAAACTGCTGCTCTGTGTCAGTCCTGTGTAGGTGTGAAGACACAGTGAGGAATAAGTTATGGTCCCTGCTTCTGTGAAGCCTCTCCACACATCTCTAGGCTGACTTAATTCACTCTGTTTTCTACCTTCTCATGGTTTGGGGCCAGACACAGACCTACTCTTGAATACACGAGGCCTCCTGTCCTTCTGTGGACAGTCTCCTGAGGGTAGGGCTGTGTCTGAGTCACCTCTTCAGCCTTATGACACCTCAGCCAGTGTTAGAAGGATGAGGGGAGTGCCTGGAGGTGCTTTCAGTCTCCTTGGGGAGAGCAGAGGACAGAATGGTATTCCACTGGGAGCTGGAAGCAGCCTTCCTGTGGGAGGTGACCTGGGGGCTGGTTGAGGCAGAGAATAGGGAGGCGGGCAGCAAGCAGCACACACAGGCAGGGGAAGGAAAGGGAGGAACCACAGCCACGTCCTCAGCCACCACCTGGACTCCTGATCCCACAGGCTTTGAAGGAATCAGCTTCTCCACAAGGCCACTCTGGATTTTAGCTCTGGGTCCAGGGCGACAGAGAGAGTAGTTTTAACACTGGACTCTCCTCCCTAGGAGGATGGACCCACAGACTCCAGAGCTTTCTCCTCCCCTGCCCATCCCCCAGGTTCCTCTGTGGCAAGGAGATCAAGAAGAAGAAGTGCATCTTCCGCCTGCGCATCCGCGTCCCACCCAACCCGCCTGGGAGGCTTCTGCCTGACAAGGGCCTGGTGCCCACTGAGAATGGCGCCTCCTCCGAGCTGCGTAAGAGAGGAAAGAGCAAGCCCGGGTCAGTGCCCCAGGACCCAGGGACTAGGGCTGCAGCCGCACTCGGGATCTCTGCTCCCAGCTCCCAGCCTCAGCCGATAGGCTATGCAGTGGGCCCAGAGAGTATGCTAGCATCCACGCAAGCGGGGAGGACCTGCATCCAGCTAGCCCCAGCTGGAGGTGCTCGGAGAGGCCCGTTAGTGGCTAGCCAGGGCTTAAGCCCACATCCCGACTCCTTCCACAGCCCTTACTGCCTGAGTTGGAGGAAAAGCCAGATCAGGGGACCCAGTCTTGCTGGAGGGCGTAAGCAGAGAGGTGAAGGGGAAGTCAGAGCGTGAGGGGTCCCTAGCTCTCCTGCCTGAGCCGAGCCCCTTCATCCTGGGTGTGGGCTGGGAGGAGAGCATTTGGGTGCATGTGCCCGGAAAGGCATCTTCTCTCTTTCTGCCCACCATACCCCCTTACACCGTCCTGCACCTGCTGCCCCAGAGGACTGACTTCCCCTTCTCCCCCATCTCCTTGTGGAGAGCCTGACCCCACCACCGCAGCTGTGACCCCAGCCCTGCCCCTGCCACTCCTCCCTCTGGGCCACCTCTCGGGCCCTCAGGCTCTGACTGGGCCACCCTCTCCCTTTTCTGTCTCCACAGTTTGTTGCCTCACGAATTCCAGCAGCAGAAAAGGCGAGTTTATAGAAGAAAAAGATCAAAGTTTTTGCTGGAAGATGCTATTCCCAGTGTTAGTTCCTTGTTTTCTTACTCTCCACTTTCACATGCAGGGTCAGCACATACCAGGGATTCCTGTGCAGAGAACGAGTCCCCCAGGCCCAGGGGACTCTCCCACGTCCCATAAAGGAGAAGCCAGCTCCTATTGTAACAGCTAAATAAGGAAAAGCCAGGCACTGCAAGCCCACTCATTTCTCTCTCCAGATTCTCCCCAGAACCCGAAGCAGGGGCAAGGGTAGGCAGTATTCTGATCCCCACTGTCCAGCTGGGGAAACTGAGTGCCAGGCAGGGGCAGTGGCTTCCCTGAGGTCACACCTCAGGTGGTAGCAGAGCCCAGCCTAGAACCAGGGCCCACGATCAATTTCTTTCCTCCTTCAGCCCTGCAACCTCACTGAAGCCCTCCCCTTGGGCAGCAGTATTAGCGATGCTTCCCATCTCCCCAGCATTTGACAGTTTACAAGGCACTTTCACAACCATCATTTCATTCTGTTGTACTTCCTGACACCTCTGGGAATGAAGCATGGCAAGGGTTACTGTCCACTTTTGCAGCTGAGGTAACAGACCCAGACCTGGCAAGGTCATACGGTTGGCCAAAGGCAGAGCCAGGACTAGAGTCAGTGTGACTTGGCTCCCTGGTCAGGCCTGGGAATAAAGAGGAAGTGACAAGTCTTACCGACGGGAGGGTCCAGCCCTCAGAAGACCTGGCTGGACCAGCAGGCAGCCTGCATGGCCCTCAGCCCCCAGGGAGACGATCCAATGCTCACTGACCCAATCTCCTCTCCCTGTGTCCACAGAGCGACTTTACCTCGGCCTGGAGCACCAACCACCACCTGGCCAGCATATTTGACTTCACATTGGATGAAATTCAGAGTTTAAAAAGGTAACAGTGAGGGACCCAGCAGAGAGGTCTGCTGTGGAGACCAGGCTGGAACCAACTGGGGAGATACCTCTGCTCCCTGCAGCAGTGAAGGCAGGCTCTTCAGAGGGCAAGCAGAAAGCCTTTTGGGGGAGTGGGAGCTTCCTTGGGGTCAGCCTAGTTAAAACGGTCCATATTGCAGAAGGCCGCCTGAGGGTCTTCTACACTGGAGCTTTCAGCGTAACCACCCTCTGCTGTACAGTCTCCAGTGCCCCGGGGATAGACCTCGGAGCAGCATTCCAGGCCTGCCTGGCGCGGGCCCTCCCTACCTCTCCCACCCCAATCCTGCTTCTCTCAGCCCCTTATACCAAAATCACTGTTTGCATTCACGTTCGCCTTCCCCCAGGAAGCTTTCACTGACTCCCCAGGCTGCCTTGGACGCTTCCTGTGTATTCCAACAGCACCTTGTGCTTGGTGTATCCAGGTCGTTCAGTGCTTTCCTGTAGGGATGGATGAGAGCAAGGGCTTCAGACAGGACTGGGCTCCAGACAGGACTGGGCTCCAAGTTACTAGCCATGTAACTTTAAATTCTTTAACTTCTCTGAATTTCCTCACTTGTTTTTACATGGTCGTTAGGAGATTCAAACAAGATGTTGTATATGAAAACACTCTGGGCCTGTAAAGGATAGCACAGGTGTGCTGGGATCATGCTTATTAACGACATTTTTTAATTACTGCCACAGTGCGTACATCACCACCAGGGGCGGGTGGTCAGGGAACGCTTTCTTGACTCCTTGGACTTTGAATTCTGGAAGGGTAGAAAGTGGACAGGCAGAGAGAGGTGACCACTGCAGGTGTGGTGGCAGGAAGCTCAGCAATGAGAAGGCGGGCCTCTGCTGGGATGAAGGACGCACGTGAGAGGGGCCGACAGACAACCGGAGAGGTCCCAAGGGGCTGACGGCAGGCTCACCCTCTCCTCCTCAGTGCCAGCTCAGGCCAGACCTTCTTCTCAGATGTGGACTCCACAGATGCCGCCAGCACCTCTGGCTCCGCCTCCACCACCCTCTCCTATGACTCCAGGTAAGCTTCTTGGAGTCTGGACTCAAATTCTTCACCACACCGTCCCCCTACCCCCAGCCTCCACCTCCCACTCTGTCACGTGTGGCTCATTCTGTGCGTCTGAGTCTTGGGCTGAGGGACTTGGCGTTCTGCAATTGTGTGTCTGGATCTGGGACCCACTGGCCTAAGGAACGGGGTACAGGTGGGGGCTGAGTATGGGCATTCAGGCCGCATCTCTTCCTCTGCTGCACAAGACTGTGTGATACTTCGCACTGGGCAGTTCCAGTTCCGGGGTCATGTAACCAGAGGCTCTTTCATTCTGGGGGTCGTGGCCTCTGCAAGCCAAGATACTGCAAGTCTGAGCCTCTGACTGCAGGGACCCCTGACCTAGTTCTTGTTTATCTGAATTTGGTGTCTCAGGTCTCTAAGGAAAAGAGTCATTGTTTTGGAAACCTGAGGGAGGGGGAAGTGGCATCATGCAGGGTGTAGGGAGGGTCTAGGAGAGGACACTACCTTCCCCTGGAGGTGCAGCCTGTGTGGCAGTAGCTGGTCCTCAGCAGCCTGGGGGGCGGTGCCGCCAAGCACATACACGAGTTCTTCTGGACTTGGGCCCTTTCACTGTATTTTGGGGTATTTGAGGCCTTTGTAGAAAGAAAAAGTAGAATTGTGTGTCTTGGGAGTTTGTCTCCACACATCTGTGTCTAGGTTTCTTTGTTCCGTTTTATTTCTTCCTGTTTAGCTCTTCAGCTCTGTTTCAAGTAGCTGTGAATGTGTACCTCTTCCTGTGTGTTCACTTCTCTGCCACCGCTGCCTTTCTGCCAGTGCGTTGTGCATTTGGTGTCTCCAGCCCAGACCCTCTTATCCATACCCCCATCCTTACTCCCACTCGACTTGTCTAGCTACGTGAATCCAGATGAGGGACCAGGCAGTGTAAGCAGGGCCTCTGCACGGCACGGCTAAGAGGCACAGAGGGTGGTGCCCCTGGACCTGTGCAGGGCTGAGGTCCGAAGTATGAAGACCATGTGCTTTAGAGCTGGACACATCTAGGTTTGAATCTTGGCTCCGTCATTCCCCGGCTAGTGGTTTCTCCTCTGGAGCCTGTTTCCCTCCTCACAGTGCTATTGTGAGGATGCGGTGAGATAATCCACGCCCGGGGCCTGGCCCAGGGCCCAGTGCCCAGTGCCCAGGAGAGGGACTTGCGAGGATTTTGCCCTTTCATTCCCATCTTCCTCTTCCCCTCCTGATATAGACGGACAGTGGGCAGCCGGAAGAGGAAGCTGGCAGCCAAAGCGTACACGCCATTGCGGGCAAAACGGCGGGCAACTGAGCTGGGTGAACGCTGCCCATCAGACAGCAGTGCTGAGGGGGCATCAGGCCCCGAACGGCCAGACGAAGGCATCGACAGCCACACGTTTGAGAGCATCAGTGAAGATGACTCGTCCTTGTCCCACCTCAAGTCATCCATCACTAGCTACTTTGGTGCAGCGGGGCGGTTAGCCTGTGGGGAGAAGTACCAGGTGCTGGCTCGGAGAGTGACACCTGAGGGCAGGGTTCAGTACCTGGTGGAGTGGGAAGGGACCACCCCTTATTGACTGGCTCTCAGTGGATGCCAGGAGCCCTGGAAAGCAAAGGAGAGACGGCGGAAGCCACAGGCTCCCTGGTTCTCTTCAGGGCGGGGTGGGGGAGGGAAGCAAGACAGAGCTGCAAGTGCCTGGCCAAAGGCCCTTCCTGCCTGCCTCCCAGGTCAAGATCTGCGCCTCTGCTGTGCCCATTCTGCTCTCGGGGCTCCTCAGACTCATCACCCCTTTGCCTGTATCTCTAAGGTCCCACCAGCTACTTCTCACCAGCACACTCCACACTCCCTTAAACTGTTCATCTGTTCCTCTGAATGTGTCCCCAAGCTCTGGGACCCTTTGCCCTGAGGCCTGAATCTGGCTTTCTCTCTGTCCCTTACCTCTCTCACGTGTGCACACTGTCCCTCCACTGGATGTCCCTCACAGCTGACTCAGGGGGCAGCCAGTCCTTCCAGGGACCTCATCATGAGAACAGGAACCTTTAAGAATAAGGCGGATAAAAGGAGCTCTCGGAGCTTTTCTGTCCCACTTTCCTGCCACATCCCCCTGCCCTTGGAGATGCTGGTGATGGTAGAACGCCCCTGCCAAAGCCTGTGAGGCGGAGATCCTGGGACTCGGGATCTGACACACAAAAAGGCTGGGTCTCTGCTTATTAAGGCTGCAGTGTCAGCTTCTGAGGTCCCAGAAGTTTTCCTTTCCTTGGCCACACTCCCTCTGGGCCTTGCCTTGCTGGAATAGAGGTGCCCTTGAAAACCTGAGGGACAGGGAGAAGTGGGAGGAAAGGAAGCCATGTCATGCTGAACCTCAGGCTATTTCCTCTGCCTCCCATCCCCAGAGAACCACACATGCAGCTGAACAATACAAACTCACACACGAGCTTCCATCCGCGAGTACTTTAACCCTCCAGGCACCAGCATTTGGCCCCTGGCCTCCAGGTGTGTACACTCACACACACGGCCACACATTCCCTTCAGCGCCAGCCTGGCTCCTGCCCTTGGCTTTCCCTTGGCTCTCTTCCAGGGACCATGTGCTGCAACTAAATGTGAAAGTCCAACCCCTGCCCTTCTTTCGCCCATGACCAGCTCTGACCTCATAGAGAAGCACAGGGGACTTATCCCCTGCCCCCACCCTGAAACTGACAATCACTTTTTGAGACAGGTTGTGAGTGCTAAACGGCCTGTGTCATTCAGTCCTCCCAAAGGGAAGCCTTTGTCAGTGGGAATATAAATAGAATTCTTAGAACCAACTTTAAAACTCACACCCATCTGGAGGGAAATCAAAAAATGGGAGGGGGAAGAGCCCCCCTCATTTTTGCTGCTTCCAGAAATATTAGAAACTGACTCTCAATTGGAAAATGGAAAGAAGTGCCTTGATTGGGGATGGGGGGTGCACCAGATGGGGACCGGCCCTGCCAACTGCTGCTGGGGGCCTCCAGCTTGGCTGGTGTTTTATAGGCTGCCAGCTATAAGGAAAAGGTGGATGAACAGTGAGGGGATGGCAAGGGGGACAGCAGGCCTGGGGAGCTGGTTTTTCCATTACTAGGCTGAGCCCCTCCCCACCTGTGAGCCTTCAGGGGGTTCCTGTGATAGTTCAGATACCCTTCGCCTTAAGCCTCAGCTCCAGTGCCTTTCAAATGGGACCTCAATTCCTGTGCACAGCCCTCCCACTTCTCTCTGCTTCTCTGGCATGGCCCAGGCAGGGAGAGTCTGGGGTTAGGCCCGGTTTTCTCCCTTCTCAGCCCCAAAGCTGCTGCCACTGAAGCCCCCATCTGGGGCCAGGTGGAAGGGAAGCTGAGAAGGCAGCCCCCAGCCCAGCAGGGGAATGGGACCTGGGCTCTGATCTGTGTGGCTTCCTGCCTGGCTTCTGAGAACACAGCAACCTTCTGGGCCTGCTTTTCCAGGCTTCCGAGAAAGCACAGGATGAGCAAGGCCTATCAGTATATCTGTACCTTCTCTACTTGGGCTCCAGAGAGGCTCTGGGCTCAAAGAGGGGGAAGGAGGGTATGGGGTGTCTTCCCCGCTTGGGAAGTCAGCATAAGGCCTAACAAGGTCACCCTGACTCCGCACCTCAGCCTTTCATTTGTACCAGATAATAGCTGCATTACTGCCAACTGACCTTATAATCCTGTGCACCTTCGAAAAGATTTATGGTTTTGAATTGCTGCTTAATAACATTTGTTATATTAAAGTTATAATTAATGTGTCTGATTTACAACTTAAAAGCTTCGTTTGAAAAGTTGCCTGTCTTACCCCCAGTGAACTATCAGCAGCTGGGTAGCAGCTGATTCTGGTTTCTGTTCCCTGGAGACTGACGAAGGGTAAGACCCCTCCCTGTTTGGCCACCCTGCCACTGCCTACCAGTTCTTTGAGCAATGTTCTTGCCCTTACCACCAAGAGGATGTGGAACCATTTTTCTGCTGTGAGTACCTGAGCCACGGGGGGCAAAAAACATTAGCTGAGAGCCACAGAGAAGTAACAGATGGGAAATGAACTTAGAAACTGACTGTATTAAAATACATAGGTACAGGCACTATCAAACCGTTCAGTGCACACAGGCACACAACCCCAGAAATCTCAAGCGAGTTCCAGGCCTGGCTCTGCTCATTAGCGCCTGCTCCACTTTGGTCTGATCCCTTTGATTCAGCTGCAGCTTCCTCACCTTATATATATGCAGAGATAACCCCTGCTGGATTCAATTTCCCAGGTCTTGAGAGGGAACCCTTTCACATATAAATGCGATGGATTTTTACTTTAAATAAACTTCTCTAGATCTGGGGCAGTGTGGAGAGAAAAATAGACATGAAGGGGTACAAAAAAAAAGCCAAGGGTTTAACTGAATTCTGTAGTTTCAGGGATAAAGTGTAGCCTCTTAATCCCTGTAAGTGTTTGTGTCTGCCCTTAGAAATCTTTATTAATTATGATTCCCATTTTTCTTCTACCACTCTCAGTTTCAGACTTTTAACTGCCCTTGGAACAAAGCCACAATTGGAACTGGGGGTATGATGGGAGTGGTGGGGATTGTTCTCTGGGCTGAAATCAATGTAATGAAAGTGTCGAGATCTGAGTTCTAGTCCAAGTTCTACAGTGAGCAGCTAAATAGACCCTCCTGAGGTCAGTGGTCCTCCCCAGGACAGAGAGGGCCTGGTTCTTTGTGGTCTAGGTTAGTGTTTACACATCTACAACAAATATTTACCTTTGGAATTTAAGAGCAAGAAATCAGAGTTCTCAAATTCCTTAAATCATTAAGTTATTCTTAATTCAAACTTTTTTCATACTCTTTGCTCCTTATTATCGATATCTGGAAAAATTTTGCTTAACAAATAGGCATATTAAGCTTAGTTGTGTTTACAAAGAACTGGAGCCTAGAGGGAATAAAAACTGGAAAATACCAGGGAACATTATTGGATTTGAATGTCAAATTATTTAACATTCAAATATCCTAGCAAGGTTAACAGGATAAGAATTATGTGTCAAAATTGCCAAATTGGGAATTTATTTTGCTTCCAAGCTTATTTCCTGGAACACTGCCCACAGGATTTGTATAAAGTCTACTATGTATATAAACTTATTTTATTTGCAAGAATAACAGTCTGCGGCAGACAGGGCTATCGACACACACTTAGGAAATAACGATCACAAGTCGGACTGATTAAACAGTAACCACGTCTCCCCAGCTGGCCCTGCCCTGCTTCTCCTAACCTCCAATGCTGCATGTTGGCGCCTCTTGCTCTTTTCATCTGATGAAGATGGATTCCTTCAAACTAGTAATGACTCTGTGCTTTTAAGCTTTAGTATTCACGGATGATTTTAATACTATCTCTCATTTTTTCAACTGATTTTTCTGGGGATTCGAGATTCAAAAAACCTACATTTCCTGAGAAATGCTGGGCAG